CCCCACAACGAGCTCCACCGAACGCCTCAGTGGCTGCGCTCGCATGCGGCTCCACCCCCCCCATTTCGGCACACCCCTCATGCGTTTCGTGGCCTCATAGGGAGCTCCACCGAAGGCCCCAGTGGCTGCGCTCGCATGCGGTTCCACCCCCCCATTCTCGCACACCCCTCACTCGTTTCGTGGCCCATAGGGAGCTCCACCGGACGCCCCAATGGCTGCGCTCGCATGCGGCTCCCCCCCCCATGTCGGCACACCCCTCACGCGCTTCGTGGCCCCATAGAGAGCTCCACCGAAGGCCCCAGCGTCTGCGCTCACATGCGGTTCCGCCCCCCTGTTCGGCACACCCCTCACGCGTTTCGTGGCCCCACAGGGAGCTCCACCGAACGCCCCAGTGGCTGCGCTCGCATGCGGTCCCCCCCCCCCCATTCTCGCACACCCCGCGCGCGCTTCGTGGCCCCATAGGGAGCGCCACCGAGGAATATATCCACAATTGCGGTATTCACAACTACGTATGGTTGGGTCTTTCGTCAGGCTAATGTTTAACGCTGGGCCCCTCGCAACCGTCGGTTCTCACGCTCGCTCGCTTTGAATTCTAGCACGTGCTGTTCGTGCGCCAGTTGGTACCTCGTGGCTCTCATACAGGCTCGCAGGAGGTCTGCTGGGTCCACTCTGTCCTCAGTCAAGGCATCGGCTAGTTGCCAGTCAGTGGGGCACCACCTGCAACTTGCACCACAACGCTTGACGGAATCCTTAATGACCACCACATCGATAGCACACCGCTTGTTTTCTGGACTGGCAAGGGACCCGTTCGCTTTCACATGGTCCCACAGCGACTCGCAGACGGCAGTGCCAATGGGTTCCCGAGCATTCACGCAGGCATCGAGGTGTCCAACATCTATGGGCCCATCCAGGGCCTCATCGAATAAGAGCGACATCCACTCTAACGCGGCGCAGCATATTGAAACAGCCTGGGCCTCTCCGGAAAGCGCACTGGGCGCCGACTGATTAAATCGGAAAGACCCCCTTTTCAACGGGGTCCAGGGCGCCCCCTGCCCTGCAGCCATGTCAGTGGACGTAAACGCGAACGCGTAGCCCGCTTGCGTTCCCTTGTGTTTGGCGCTTCCGCACGCGGCATCCCGATCGGCAAACGTCGTCAGCTGGTCGGGCGAAGTCGGCAGGTGCGAGATCGCAAGATCTGAGTACTGCTTGGCACAGCCGACCATCGCCGCCCCCCGGGCAAATTCACCCACGGTGGTTTGTGGAGAACTGCTCTGGCCAAGCGATGCCTGACGCGACAGGTCGGGTCTGGTTTCTTCGCGCACCCAGCCGCCGTCTCCGAAGCACGATCGCCCCTGGGCAATTTCGTGGTCAGTCGCTCTCGCAGCGGGGCCCTGGAGTCGTTGTCGGCCGAAACGGGCAGGTCGCATTTCAGCCACGAAATTGGCATGATTCCCTTGGGTCGTTTTGGTCTGTGGGTCCTGGTTGTAGCGGGTCACGCAAAATCCCCCATGGGCGCAGGAGCCGGATATCCTCGGCATATCGGGCACCGCGCCACCAGTGATACAGTCGTACACGTGGCAGGCCAATGCACCGACCAAGCCCCCCTGGTCGCGCAAGCAATACAGGCGAGGATCAGAGCGACTAGGACGGAAGCCAAGGCGTTGGAAATATTCTTCGGACCCCTGAAACCATCCGAAAAGAGCACAGCTTCAACCGTGCAAGTGCCCAGTAGACTCGAGGATTTCTCCGCCGGGGTGCCCGGGCAACCCCCTGGGGGACGCAGTGAAAAAGGCGCTCGCGTCTCATCGTGCCCTTGGCTTCTGGAAACGCACATTGGACGCCGCTAATGGCTGGCCACCATCTGAGGACATACCGCGCGGCCAAAGGGTGCGACAGTCGGGCCATGCACCTTCCCCTCCTGGATCAGATCGGGCAAGTCGGGGCCCAGGTAACCTCTGCGGTACCATCGGGCCTTGATTCGCGTAGGTTGCCCCTCCTCCTCCATTTCAGTCATCGCAGACCACCTCGGGATCTACCGTTGACCCTATTTCCCCCGCGCCTCCCCCCTCCTCCTTTGGAACCGCCCGGAGACGCCCCTTCTGGATCAAGTTATCAATCTCCAAGGCGCGGGCAGTCTCGGCCTTGCGCGACAGCTCGCCGGAGGCGCCTCTGAAACAGAGCTCCTTCTGACCGCGGCGAGAAAGCGCGGCCGCCAGGAGGGAGGTAACGGGCTGGCGCCGCGCCGCGGCGTCTAGGGCCTCCATCTACCGAGCGTGCTCGATGGCTTCAGCGGCGAAACCAGCATGCTCAGGCCCTTCGGACTGAACCAGCAAGGATTCTCGGTCGGGGGACGGCGCCCGCGTCGCCTGACGCAGGACAGGCGCATTCTCCATCGAAGCATGTTCTGGGGCCACTAGGGGGTGTAGGATGTCGTCGTCATCGCTTCCCGTCGTTAGGTCATGGTCCTCGGGGATCAGAAAGCTCCTGGAAGCTTGTTTGAATTTCGGTTGAGCGACCTCCTCGATCGATCGTGCCGTCGTAACTTGTCGCGGTGGCTGTCGTGAGGTCGGTTGTTCGTCGATCCCTCGTTTCGTCGATACTCGCCGTCGCGGCTGACGTGAGGTCGGAATCGGTCCGGGCTCCTCAGGAAGGTCTCGGGGTGCCGGGGGACCTGGCGCCGGCTGCGGTTCGGCGTCTGCGCGAGGCACGCCGGGCCCTGCACGCATTGGCCTCGCACTAACTGAAACTTCCACTGGGGAGCCTTCAGAGTTCACGCCAGGTAAGGTCTATCGGATGTAGGTGCCCCCCGACGGCACACAGACGCTGTTATTCGCCCCGGGCGCTTGCTCCACCAACTGGCCCGCTTGCGCCTCGCTCGTCGAGGCTGGTCGGAGTTGGGAAGCGTCTGCGCGAATGAGGCGTCCCCGATGTGATAACCGCAAGTTGCGACCCTGTTGTCCAATGAGAATTCCGCGCCCATGTCGGCGGGCGCGGGCTTCCTCCCCCTTCCTCCAATAGGCAACCTCGCCGCCCGCTTGGAAGGGACATGTCGCTCGGCATCGGGAAGCAACGACGCGGCGGGGGTCTTGGTCGCCCCGAGCCTGCGGTGAGGCACGCATTGCAAACTGTCGAATCTCGCGGGCTCGAGCACAAGCGCTGTCAGATAAGGGGCCAGAAGCGCTCGTCGCATCCATGGTGCCCTGGAGCAAATGAAGTCACCAAGATGTCGGGCCCCCTGGTCCAACGCATGCTGATAAGGCGGGTAACCGTCGACCCGCAAATCCGCTGCTTGGCGTCGGTCCTGGCGTCGACGCACTCAGCCCATTCTTCGTAATTCTGAGGTTGCGCTGTTTCCAGCACCTGCTTAAGCTTGAAAATTCGCATCCACCAACGCCCGCGCGATTCCGCGCGTCCGTTTTGCCGCTGCCGCCCCCCGCCCCCGCCGCGTATAAGATCTCGGTCTGTTCGAGCGCGAGGGGCCCGTCGATGCAGCTCCGACACTAGCCTTGCCCGCATCAGCCATTACGCGATCATCTGGGCCAGCCAATCGCTTCCAAGCCTGTCGGCACCCCTCGCGGATGGCCCCGGAGCCTTCGCTCTGGAGCAACGGCGCCACGATTTGATCCGATGATGCGTCGTCGACCGCGCGGAGAGAAGGGGCCGCGCGCGGGCCCCTTCCGCCCAGGGATGCTGATGCCGTCGACCTCCAGCTGTTAAACTACATGATGCAATGTCCAGAAACAGTCCTGGAAGGCGCAGGCGTCTTGTTTTCTTCGCAGACGTCACAGCGGATATTCCCAGCCAGTCGCGTGGCCTCGTCGCGCCCGCCCCCATGTTTCGGTGTCCGGGCCATTTTCCCGCGGGGCCGCATCTCCTACGTGGGTGCGCGGTTGCTGGAGAGCGCTCCGAATGTTCCGGGCAGTTGCGAGGGGGGAGGTGTCCGAGGGGAGTTTGAAGCACCTCGATCGGGCTCGGGCCCCCCCAGGCCAGCCGCCAGACAACGCCGCGCGGGCTCTGCCACTGGCGACTGCAGCTTCCCGCGGCGGGAAGCGCCCCGCGGGCGCGCCTCCAGCGGCAAAAGTGCAGGCCCCTGCTCAAACCGCAGAGGGGCGCCCGCGTGGGCGTAGTGATTATGTTCGGGGTCGCCAGTGTCTCGCAAGATCGCTTCGCAGAGCTCCGAGATATAACGGCCTGGCCACTTGCTTCTCGGAACCCCGTCGGTTTTCCCTCGATCGTCACGCGGTCGCGTTTCCCACGCACCGTGTTCCCAAACATTGCGACAATCGTTGCGACGACGCCAACAGACGGGTATGTTTCTTAATCTACCATGGGCCTCTGGGTTCTCTCAAACCGCGAGCGACCATATACGTTTCCACTTCGAACATCCGCTCCCGTAATCGTTGCACTTCGGGCATCTTCCAGGGAAAGGAACGCGCGGAATGTTAAAACATGGCATCGTTCGCCCGGTCGAGCTGTGCATGTATCTCCCGCGTGCAACACCGCGCGCGCGCTTCTCGCGCCGTGCGCATGCGACCCGCAACGCTGTGCAGCCGTGCATTTACCGCCGCAAAAACCACCGCGCCACGTGCAAGGCAAGGTGTCGGAAACGTTTCAACTCGCGCGAAGCCCGTTATTGCACCGATCGGTCAGACTGATCGCGCTCAGCAGGCAAGTCGCAACTCCGCCCCGCCCCGCGGTCAATGTCTTCAGCCCGCATCAGAGACCGAGGTGGTGAAAACAATTCAGAAGCCCTCCGGGTGGTCTCCCCCCGCGAAACTCCGAAGACGCCCCGAAATTGTTCCTCGCGATGTCGGCAAGTTCCTCGTTTCAGCACATAGGTCCCGGGTTGCTCCTGTCTCCTGGAACTCCTCCGTCTCGACCTCACTGATATTCTCCTCCTCCTTCTGGTCCTCCTTCGGCTCGAGCGCGTGCCCGGGCACGGGCCCCACGAGGTCGCGGCTGTCCAAGATCGCGGCGCAGATCTCCGCTGCCTGCCCGACCCCTGCATCATGTAGTTGCCCGAGTCTGTCTCCTCGAGTTCCACGGCGGTCTCCGGGGCGTCGAACGCAATCTGACTGCGGGCTCGCAGGGCCTTCATCGGCGGCTTGCTCAGCAACAGGGGTGCATCCCAACGAACCGCGGGAGCAGCGATGTGTCCGGTCTCTTCGCGCCCACTGTTGCCGAACCTGAAGACTTTGGTCTCCTCGTAGAACTCGAGCTGCTGGCTTGTGGGTTCCACCAACTCCTTGAGCTTCTGAAGACGGTCGGCTCCGCTGAGCGCCCCGCCGCAGCCGGGGCCCACCGCGCCCTTGTCGACTGGGCACGCGAAGAAAATGTCCAACGCCTGTTCGCCGACGCGACGTGCTCGAAGCTGTTGCAGCGCCGTGGCCAGGCTGGCCTTGTGAGCTCCTGGTCCTTCGAGTACAAGAAAAGCTGCCCCCGCGCCTGTCGAGCCCCCTGCTGACGGTTCCGATTATCGCCAAAACCTTTTTATCCCTTCTTCTTTGGACACTCTCGGGACCAATGTCCCACCCGCTTGCATGAATGGCAACGCGTCTCCCGCTTGGCCTCTTCCAGCTCGCGGCGGAACGCGATCTGTAACTTGTCCGCCTCCTCAAAAATGCTGGTCTTGCGGGCGTCATTGATCTCCTGGCGCATCTCTTTCCACGTGGCTGTCAACACTTCTACCTGGCCGGTCTCCTCAACGACCTCCTCGTTCCCGAATGGCCCCTGGGCGCTTTTGTCAACCAAGAGGGCCTCGATGTCCGCAAACTCGTCCTCCTGCTGCCGGTGCGCGGAATCGAGCTTAGCCTGCCACGGCTGCGGGCGAGGGGGGTCGAAGTCATCATGCTCTGTCATATCGGCCAACAACGCGCTGGCCTCGGCGCGGCGTGACTTCGGCATCCCCAATGTTGGAAACATAATGCCCCAATCGCCACCTCCATGGCTTCAACCGTGTACTTCCCTGTTTTCGCCTTCGCGATGGCTCGATGGTCAGGTGTGGACACCCCCCTCGCAACATGATCCATGACTGCGCTCCCGACGGAAACTGCACATTGGCCTTGGCACTGCACTTCTGAAACACCTCCTTCGCTCGACCAAGCCAAGGTGCTAAGACCAAAACGGCCTCCAGGTGTTTATCACGAATGTTGTTTTGCTCCTTGGCTGGCCAGCGCTTCAGCAGTACATCAAGAAGCTCCTGATAACCGTCTTCCTTCTAGTCGTCCTCCAACTCTAAATGATCCGTGGGGTCTGTGCTAAACATATGGTCTGTCGGTTGCCGGCGCTTCCCGCCAGGATAACGCGCGCCTCCCCAAAGGCGCTTGAGCAACCTGCTGCGCTACCAATGGGAAAACCAGAACTCCCCACTGGTCGGCATGATCAGAAGATGAAATAGTTGTTCGTGCGCCGCGCGCTCCCATAATATCCCCTTACCCGAAACGGGAGGGGCAGCACAGCGTGCCATGTCGACAGAAGCAACACGTCTACACACGCTACAATGCGCACGCTGACAAAATAATGATAACAGGATGGCACTGGTCTGTGGCTCAAGCTGACAAACACATTTTCTTCCTCCTCCAGCTCTTCCTCCTCCTCCTCGTCGTCCTCCTCCTCCTCCTCCTCCTCCTCCTCCTCCTCCTCCTCCTCCTCCTCCTCCTCTTCCCCGTAGGAAGGCCAGGCGCAGGACCAGGAGCCACGGGCGAGCGCACTGTAAAGAGCAGCGGCGGACGACCTCGCCGAAATGTTTTTTCGGCCAGGAGGAAGGCGAGCGACAACACCAAATCCGGCATGGTTCCGACGCCGTGGCGGACGCTGACGGGCGCCAGATGAGCATTCGCGGTCTGCTGTTGGTGATGGGCCTGTTTCCCACCACCACCACTCTGTAAGTCTGGGGGGGGGGTCTCCCTCGTCCTCCTCCTCCAATTCCACGTCCTCCTTTTCCTCCTCCTCCTCTCCCTCCTCGTTTTCGTCCTCCTCCTCATCCTCCACGGTGCTGCTCACGCACTGCCATCGCAATGCAAATGCGGTGCAAAACCGTTACCAAACCAATGCCAATGCAATGCCGATGGCATGATTCCACTCTTTCAACAGATTCCAACAGAAATCCTGATGTGGATTATTTGGTTACGGATCCATTTTTTTCGGAGGATGTCGATTGGAATTTTCTTGCGAAGGGTTTCGGCAGGAATCTTTCTGCGAAATGTTTTCTACCATGAGCCCCTCATATGGGGACCCTTCGTGTGGAAGGTTTCAGTAGGAATCCCTGTGGTGGGAGGCATTAGAAGTCGCCAGCGCAATGCCAAAGCACTGCCAACGCAATGCCAAACCGATGCCATGGCAATCCCAATCCAATGCCCATGAAATGCCTGGGGGGAAATCGCTGGTGGTCGGTTGCATAAGGATTCCTTAGATGGGGGGTTTCAAATGGGATCCTGCTGAAGGGTTTCAATATGAACCCTTATTGTGGAATGCTTCAATCGGAATCCTTCGTGTGTGAGGTTCAATAGGAATCACCCTGCGAAGGGAGGTATTGGAACTCGCCAGCACAATGCCAAAGAAGTGCCAACGCAATGCCAGACGAATGCCAAGGCGATCCCAACCCAATGTCAATGCAATGCCAATGGGGAAAGCATGTGTGATAGAGTTCAGTAGGGATCCTAATGTGGAGGGCTTCGCATGTACTCCTTCTGTGTCGGGTTTCAATATGAGTCCTTCTGGTCGAGGGTTTCAATCTGAGTCCTTTTGTGGAAGGTTCCATCAAGGACCCGCCAGCGCAATGCTTGCGACATGCAAGCACAATGCCAACGCACTGCCAAGCGCCACGCCAACGCAATGCCAATGCGATACCAAACCATGGCCGACTCAATGCCAATGCAATGCCAACTGGGGCATTTCTTTCTTCTGAAGCATTTCGAAAACTAACCGCTTGACTCTGGGAAAAGGAAACGGAGGAGGAGGAAGGGGGGGGAGAGAGGAAGGAGGGAGCGGAGTAGCGCGGAGGAGGAGGAGGACCCCCCCCATCAAAAATTAGCCTGGCGAAGGCCCCAACCATATGCAGCTGTGAATACCGCAATAGTGAACATCTTCTTCCGTGCGGCGCCGCCATGCCAACGCAGCCACTGGGAGCTTCGGTGGAGCTCCCTATGGAGCCACGAAGCGTGTGAGGGGTGTGCCGAAATGGGTGCGGCGCCGCCATGCCAACGCAGCCACTGGAGCCTTCGGTGGAGCTCCCTATGGGGCCACGAAACGTGTGAGGGGTGTGCCGAAATGAGTGCGGCGCCGCCATGCCAACGCAGCCACTGGGGCCTTCGGTGGAGCTCCGTATGGGGCCACGAAACGTGTGAGGGGTGTGCCGAAATGGGTGCGGCGCCGCCATGCCGACGCAGCCACTGGGGCCTTCGGTGGGGCTCCCTATGAGGCCACGAAGCGTGTGGGGGGTGTGCCGGAATGGGTGCGGCGCCGCCATGCCAACGCGGCCACTGGGGCCTTCGGTGGAGCCCCCTATGGGGCCACGAAACATGTGAGGGGTGTGCCGAAATGGGTGCGGCGCCGCCATGTCAACGCAGCCACTGGGGCCTTCGGTGGAGCTCCCTATGGGGCCACGAAACGTGTGAGGGGTGTGCCGAAAACATGCCAACGCAGCCACTGGGGCCTTCGGTGGAGCTCCCTATGGGGCCACGAAACGTGTGAGGGGTGTGCCGAAATGGGTGTGCGGGCCGCATGCAACGCAGCCACTGGGGCCTTCGGTGGAGCTCCCTATGGGGCCACGAAACGTGTGAGGGGTGTGCCGAAATGGGTGCGGCGCCGCCATGCAACGCAGCCACTGGGGCCTTCGGTGGAGCTCCCTATGGGGCCACGAAACGTGTGAGGGGTGTGCCGAAATGGGTGCGGCGCCGCCATGCCAACGCAGCCACTGGGGCCTTCGGTGGAGCTCCCTATGGGGCCACGAAACGTGTGAGGGGTGTGCCGAAATGGTGCGGCGCCGCCATGCCAACGCAGCCACTGGGGCCTTCGGTGGAGCTCCCTATGGGGCCACGAAGCGTGTGAGGGGTGTGCCGAAATGTGTGCGGCGCCGCCGTGCCAACGCAGCCACTGGGGCCTTCGGTGGAGCTCCCTATGGGGCCACGAAACGTGTGAGGGGTGTGCTGAATTGGGTGCGGCGCCGCCATGCCAACGCAGCCACTGGGGCCTTCGGTGGAGCTCCCTATGGGGCCACGAAACGTGTGAGGGGTGTGCCGAAATGGGTGCGGTGACGAGGGAGGGGGCAGCGGGAGGAAGGAAGGAAGGAGTGAACGCGGGGCGCTGTCTCTTCAAAACGAGGACCCAACACCACAGCATGGCTGGGACAAAGAAATCATTTTAAAAAACGGAAGGCAGCGCCGCGTGTTTGGTATGCTTTGTATGTGTTTGTTTTTTTTGGGAGGTGCAGGACAAGCAGAGAGCGATATTCTCTGGCAAAGAGGAGAGGGAGGCGGAGGGAACGGAGCAGCGCGGAGGAGGAGGAGGAGCCCCCCCCCCCCAAAAAAGGAAATAGCAAAACAACGGGAGGCCGCACCGCCATTTTTCGTTGGTTTGTTTATTTACCCGGGGGGGGCAGGAGAAGCAAAATGCTAGACTCTGGGGGGGGGAGGAGGAGGAATAAGAGGAAGAGTAGGAGAAGGGGGGGAAACAGGAAGAGGAGGAGGAGAAGCAGAAGAAGGAAGATGAGGGAGAATGTTAAAAAACTTCACGAACAACTATACGAAAAAACTCTTCGAAAGGCGAGGGACTCCACAATCCCCCGTTCTCTCCTCCTCCTCCTCCTCCTCCTCCTCCTCCTCCTCCTCCTCGCGTGGCGCCAGATCTTGACACCCTGTCCATCAGAAGCTTCGACCGATCTGAGTCTTTGTGGGGTGGTGTCCTCTCCCTCGCCGTCCCTCTCCAGCCCCCCACATCCCCCCCCTTTCGCAATCATTGTCCCGCCGTCCCCCTCCCTTCTCTCCTTGCCTCCTCCTCCATTCACCCCTCCCTCGCCTGGCAGCCCTGGTGCATCATCACCCTGTAAATGAACGCCTGCATCTGCAAGATGCTGTTCCACCGTGCCACAATCAAAAAGCCCTGTGCAGAGACCCAGGCACGCACCTACGCCTGCCGCATTCCCTTGCCCCGCCGTCCACCCTCCAGGAAGGTGAGACAAAGAGGAGGAAGAAGAAGCCCACAGGTGAAGCAGGACGGGAGTATGACGGGGTTGGGTGGATTCTTTGCCCTGGACCTTCTGGGTTAGTGGTGCGTTCAATCCCGAGGTCGTCATCTGTTGCCTCTGACCCTCTCGACAATTCATCAGCAGGAGCGCTGCCATGATGCCGAAGACACAGCCGTGGATTAGGGCCTTGCTCCAACAAGACAGCAAGAGACACAGCGTAATTAGACCGGAGACGAATTTGTTTTGCCAGCTGAGCAGATACCATACGTAACTAAAGAAGCAGAATACGAAATCGTCGAGGACCGAAAACTTGATGTCCATTGCATCGTCGAACAACTCCTGAATGTCTAATTCTGGGAGCGAGCTCGCTTGAATAACAGGATTAAACGACAACTTCGGGGGGTCAAGAGCATAAGAAAACATGACGTCGTATTTGGAGGGAGCTGCCATCACCATTTTCATCCTGACAAACAACTCGCCCGCGTTGAACTGCTGATCGGCGGATTCATCTCTTGTGGTGCGCGCCCGGCCCATGACGCTTTTCATCATCCCGCCATAGCCAGACGTCCCACTCTCACGACTGATCTTCTTGGACACCTGCACGAACGCCATGTGGCCGACCTGGGAGGACGGAGCTGCCTCCAGCATCTCCTGCATTTCCTTGTGCAACACGTCTTCTCGGGACAAACAGTGCTGATGGTAACGACTAGTGTTTGTCCCTTGCAAGTGTGATGGGAATCGCAACTCCAACCAACCAATGATGATGGGCGTGTTTTCCACCACCACCACCATAAGTTAGGGGGGGGGTCCTCCTCCGCCGCCTCCTCATCATCCCCTTACTCCTCCTCTTCGTCCTCCTCTTCCTCCTCGCCCTCCTCCTTCCTTCCCCCTTCCAACTTATGGTGGTGGTGGTGGAAAACAGGCTCATCAAATGAGCTCCTCGTCGAACGGCATGTCCGCGAGGCACACCTCCACAAAACCGAGGGAATGCTGCAGCGACGACTGCTTCTTCCCGTCGGCCACGGAAACCTCGGCCATGTTGGCCTTGAACAGATCTCGAGCGCCGTCGTCCTCGATGTCTTTGTCGTATACCTGAAAACGCACCATTGACTTCGCCGCGACGACGTCGATGTTGCAGCTGTAATTGAAATCCGGATTGCGGGTGTTCTTGCCGCGTGTACTCTCGGCGACCTCCTTGTCGTCTAGGTACACTCTGACAAATGGTTTCGGCTGTTCTGTGCGCACTGCCACACCTGCTCAAGAAGAAGCAACTGCATAAACATGAAATTCCGCATAAATCCGCCGGCCCGCTTGTGGGGCCACCAGGCTGCGAGGATGAGTGTTGCTGCGCCCTGTGCTAGTTGCAGTTCAAGTCTCCAGTGTTACAGTTCTGCTTTCTGCGTTCTACTGTAAATTGTTGAAGTCCGCGCGCAGGGGAGGAGCCCCAAACCTGCATCTGTGCCACCCCCAAATCGCGTTGCCTGAATTCCCTGGGGGGCGTGGGACACATGAAAATACATGAAATGCGCGCCCCCGAGGCCACACACATTTGCAACTTAGGCCGTCTCGCGTCCCCGAAGCCAGACTCCCTTCTTAATTACGCCATACTCGCGCCCCCGAGGCCACAAACCCGCGTAAAATACGTCAGTCTTGCATCCCCAAGGCCACACACCCTGGCAAATTACGCAAGAGCCGCGTCCCCGAAGCCATACCCCCCCACAAATTACACCAGATCCGCATTGCTGAGGCCAAGAGTGCTCCAAGGTGCCCGAAGATGGTTCCAAGACGGCCCAAGATGGCCCCAAGAGCGCTCCACGAGGCCTCCAGAGAGTAACCCAAGAGGCCATCGTCGATTTCACAACGGTTTTCGGAGGATTTTGACTTTCTCGCATTTTCGGCTTTCCGACGCTCCAAGACAACCCAAGAAGCTCCCAAGATCGCTGCCCAAGACGCCTCCAAGAAGGCCCCAAGACGACCCAAGAGGGCCCCAAGACGGCCCAAGAAGCGCTCCGACAAACCCTGAGAAGCCCCCGGGAGCCCCAAGAGGCCGCCAAGAGGCCCCAAGAGGCGCCCAAGAGGCGCCCAAGAGGCGCCCAAGAGGCCTCCAAGGGGTCCAAAAGATACCCCACGAGGCCCCAAGAGGCCCCCAAGAGGCACCCAAACCGCCTCCAAGAGGCCCCCGAGAGGCTCCCCACGACCCCCCAACACATGTTCAAGAGGCCTCAGACCCACAGCCCAGGCACGGTGGCGGGATGGGCCGAAGGCCATTAGAGCCACGCCAACATCATGATCCTATATAGAGCCACGCCAGCAATATGCGACGCCACGCCAGCAATATTAAGGCCATTAGAGCCACGCCAGCAATATGCGCCGATGATTCCTATCCACCCCCGCATGATGTTCTCAGATGTGCCAAGGCAGCGCCGAGACGCACCGACGCGACTCTGATAATATATCCCATTCTGGCGGAGAGGGGGCCGGCGGCAGGGGGCGAAGCCCTTACGGATATACAACGAGCTCCGTGAGAATGTCGGATCTGCACTAGACTCCACTCCCTGACGCGACGAGCGCGCCGACTAGGTGCGGCGTCGGAGGCGCCGCCAGAGGGGCCCAGCGCAGAATCCAAAAATCCGCTCGGAGCTCCAACATTTTCTTTGTATGCCTTTGTTCTTCTTCGACCTGTGCCCTCGTTAAGTATGAGGTCCTTCGCCTTCACGATGGTGACTTCGAGGCGCGCCACTGCTCCCAAGCACAGAACGGCACTCGTAGGCTGGGTGAGACACATCCACCTGTTCTCGTGGAACGGCAACCTGTTGTCGAGGTCCTGCTTCAACTTTTCCACACCTGGACTATCGACGTCATCATCGTGGCTACTCTTGCTCACAGATCTCATCATAGACAACATCAGAAACGCTAGAGTGTTAGCCGGGAGGGCCAGTTCAGAGCCAACAGTTCTTATAGATACAGGTGTTCCTTCCTGAGACAAGCGCGTTCCACCACTCACAAGGTAGCTGCTCGCAAATAGCCTGGATCCGCCGCGGAGGATTCACGACAAATTACGTCGAGGCAACAAACTATTTTTCGGGCGTTTGCGAGTAGACATTTTGCGAGTAGTGGAACTAGAAGAAGAACAAAAACACATAAACATAAACTGTTGGCGCTCCACGCGGATTTCTTGGATTCGCATTGGGCCCCCCTCCCTGGCACGCGGAGCGCACCAGGGGCGGCGACGGAGGCGCCGCCGTGGGACCCAGGCGCGGATCCAAGCAATCCGCGCGGAGCGCCAACAGTTTATGTGTATGTGGTTGTTCTTCTTCGAGGAACGCGCTCGGTGATTCCTCGAGGATTGCGTTGCACGCGGGTGCGCCCTACATTCACAGCGACGGCGCGCGGCTGGAGGCGGGGCTGCCGGTTACCTCGTGAGCCGAAGGAGCAAACGACAGAGGATATGAGTTAGGTCGGGCGGGCCCCCAGCGCCGTCCCTGGCGCCAGGGAGTGGAGGGGGTTCCAGCGTCGATGCAATACATCCGCGCGGACCTGCGAAAGTGTATCTTCACGCAGCTGTTTGTCTTTCGACCTGCGCCACTTGACACATTTACTGTCAGGTCGGGCATGTCCTCCTACAGGCGGATTCTGGACGACAAATTACAAATACTTTCAAACATACCCAAAAAATGTCAAACCAATACAAAAGAATCGTCCCCGGACTATGCTTTTACTAGTTTGAAATATTGTCCCTGTAGAGGGACGTGCCCGACTTAGGGTCAGGTCGGGCGCATCCCCCGACAGGCGGATTTTGGACAAAAAATCAAGCAAAGCCAAACAGTACTCAAACACTAATCAAACATATTTTAAAACAATCCCCATAATATGTGTTGGCTATGTTGAAATATTGCCCCTGCAGAGGGACGTGCCCGACTTAAAGTTAGGTCGGGCGTGTCCCCCTACAGGCGGAGTCTGGACGGGAAATAAACAAATTAGAAACACACACTCAAAACTAAGCAACACATGTATAAAAATCGTCCCAACACTATTCCTCTATGATTTTTGAGAATGCTGCCCCTGTAGAGAGACATGTCCGACTTAAGGACATTGGAGGGGCCCTGGGACACACAAATAAATAGACACAAGTAACAGGAATCCCTATATCTTCCCATATGTTCTGGGTTCTCTTCTTCCCTCCACGTTTTCTCCTCATTTTCTCTGGAATCGACGATTACTTGTGCGTTCGTGTGCGTATGCGTGTGCGTGTGTGGTTGTGTGCGTGTGCGTGTCCGTGTGCGTGTGCGTGTGCGTGTGCGTGGGCGTGTGCGTGTGCGGGTGTGCGCGTTTGTGTGTGTGTATGTATGTATGTGTGTGTGTGCGTGTGCGTGTGTGCGCTTTTGTGTGTGTGCGTGTTTTCTCCTCCCCTCCTGAGACATGAGAGGCCGCAAGCTCGCCGACCCATTGCTTTGGGCTCCCAAAGCTCCGTCTGTCATCTTTGTCTTCCTACCGCGACACCCCCACCCCACGCACGCCGGTCCTCCTCCAGTCCTCCTCCCCAGTGGGGGGGTCCCAGAGGGGTCCTTTCCTCATTCTCCTCCTCCAGTCCTCCAGTCCTCCCGTCCTCCAGTCCTCCTCCTCCTTATCTCCGCCTCCTCCTCCTCCTCCTTTTCCTTTTCCTCCTCCTCCTCCTCCTCCTCCTCCTCCTCCTCCTCCCCCTCCTGGTCGTCCTCGTCCTCCTCCTCCTCATGCGGTTCTTCGTCCTACGTATCCTCCTTCTACCTCGTCGTGGTAACCGTCCTCATTTTCAGGGTCGGCGGCACCGGCCGTCAGGCCTTTTGATATCTGACTACCTACCAGACCACCCCCTCCATTGAACCTCTGCCTCAGGTCGGGCCTGTCCCCCTTACAGGGGGACTTTGGACGACAAATTTTAAAATGCCCAAAACTCTCCCTAAACAAATCCCCAGAAGAGTCAAACAATTGTCCCCCGACGATCAGTTTTTACTATTTGTTGATATTCCTCCTGTAGAAGGACAAGCCTGACTGAACCTCTACCTCCACCTCCTCCTCCCCATCCTCCTCGTCCTCCTCCTCCTCATGCGGCTCCTCGTCCTACTTATCCTCCTACTTCGTCGTGGTAAGCGTCCTCATTTTCAGGATCGGCGGCACCGGCCGTAAGGCCTTCGCAATATCTGACTACCTACCGGACCACCCCAACCTGACCCGAAGACCCACATTTCGGATTTGTGGGGGCACGGGTTCCCCATGTTTTTTCGATGTTCCCGGGCCCCCACCGGAAATCGAGGGTGAATTTGGGCCTTCGGGTTGGGTTGTGGCGGTTGGGTGGGTGGTGAATATTACACCGGGGAAAACTCAAATCTGCGGATGGCTAGTCAACTTGGCGGGCACCCTGCACGGCCGCAGCTTCGCTGGAGGGCCTAAAAAAAAAACAAAGCGCTGTTTCCCCCTGAACAAGTGTGGCGATCTCGCCTTTTCGAGCATCCGTCGGTTGAAACAGCCCAAGACGCCTCCAAGATAGACGACCTGAGGGGGGCCGTCTGCCTGGTCCACCAAGGGGTCGAAAATCATATTAAGGATCCGCAGCGCAATATGTGATGCGAACTTGGCGTGATGATGGTAATGATGATGATGACGGTGGCGCTGATGATGCCATTGATGCCGGTGGTAATGATGACGGCGGTCATGATGTCGGTGGTCACGATGACGGTGGTCATGACGACGATGGTCATGATGTCGGTGGACATGGTGTCGCTGATTGCGCTGATGATGTCGGTGGTCATGATGGCCACTACGGTGGTGGCGATGACGACGACTAGTTTTTCCGCTCGCAAGTGTCGCGGCGCCAGCTGCCGCGACGCCGCCTTGGCCTCAGAAGGCGCGCCAGGGGCAGCGTCACGGGCACGCCAGAGGCAGTGACTCGGCCACGCCAGAGGCAGTGTCTCGGGCAATCATCTCCTAGCGAAGGTCTCCCCAAGGGTTGCTCGTATTCTGGCCGCTCCCTGAGGACGGTGAATTGTCGGGGCACGCCAGGGGCAGTGCATTCTGGCCGCTTCCTGAGGCCGCTTCCTGAGGGCGGTCAGTTGGCGGGCACCCTTCGGCAGCGTCAGGCCGCTTCCTGAGGCCGCTTCGCGTTGGGGCGCGCTCGCCGCGGCGGGGCGCGCCAGAGGCAGCGCCTGCGTCCACTTCGCCCATGGCGGGGCGCGCCCATGGCGGGACGCGCTCTCCCTGCCGCGCCCAGTTCGCCCATGTGATGAGCATGCCTTTGTTGTCGGCCTTCTCGCGCCAGGCGAATTCGTCGGAGTGTCTGTCGAGGAAATCCTCCAGCCCCGCAGGCGCCAAAAGCTTGTTGAACGTCTCGAACGCGCGCTCGTCGCGCCACCGCAACTTGTCGCGGGAAACCCGCAGCGGATCGAATTCACCGCCGCCCTTGCCCGCGCGCAGGCAAGCGCGCTCGCGTGCGAAAGCGCGACCGACGGGCAGCCGCGAAAGCAGCGACGCGCTGCGCGCAGAAGTCAGCAAGCGCCAGAGGCAGCTCTTCAGAGGGTTCTGTAGGGAAAGAAGCACCAGAGGCAGCTACTCAGCAGTACCACGCCCTCACCTTCGCCGCCGGGGCAGGCCCCGGCGCCCTGTCTCCTGATAGCGCAGGCGCCGATCATTCTTCTTGGGAGTAGCCCCCGCCGTCTGCGACTCGCTGTGCCCCGTCCTCGTCGCGAGCATCGGTTGCCGGAGGTGCAGCGTGCGCGGGAAGTGGCACGAGCAAAGGCGGCGCCCGTAGCTGAACATCTCCGCTAGCGTCACGAATTGTCCTGTCCTGATGCACCGCGTCTCGCCAGAGGCAGAGTCGTCTTCGACGCGCTTCAGAAGCTCGGCCTCGCCACCATCCACGCCCAGGATCCACTTCATCTCCGCCAGAGGCAGGAAGCCCGTATCCCTGCCAGCGTTCTTCCAGGCCAGGTAATCACGCGCCTTTTCGCTCGTGGCGCACTGGCGATGCCAGAACCTGACGCGGCAGAGATGGTCCACGAATTCAGAAGGCACATCCCTCCACCCGCGCCCCCCCCAGTGCCGCGCCTCGCCGCTGTGCTTCTCGAAGATGCGCTTGACGTAGGACTCGTCGTCGGGAACCCCTGATTTGCGCTTCGATGCCTCGAAGGCGTCTGGCGTCAGCGCCGCCCGCCCGTCGCCGAGCACGGCACTCGGGTATACCTCGGCGAAGGGCGCGTCAGGGGCAGCGTCAGGGCCCCACAGCTCCTGCCACAGCCGCCGCCTGCAGCGTTGCTTGTTGGAGGCCAGCGGAGGCCAGCGCGGGCACGACGGGCCACAACTGCCCTGCGATATCTGGGTTGTCGTTTCGGTGGGGGGGGCCTTCGAGAAACTGCCTCCCTGTAGGGAGCGGGTCGCAATAAAAATCGAGCTTTCTCTGCATGCGGAAGGCGTTTCTGTCCTCGAGCTCCGGCATCTGCCAGTCTCGGACGCGAGCTTGGGCGTCGGTGTCCCAACGATCCTTGTTGTCGACGAAGTGCTGCTACCTGGCGCACGTTCAGACCGCGCTGCGAAGCTCGGCCGTGCGTTCGTCGGGCAATCGTCTGCGCTTCCTCTCAGAGAGACGAGTCGTCAGGCTCACTTCCTCTGTTGCGCCAGAGACAGCATACTCGGGTACGCCAGAGGCAGCATCCTCCCGCTCGTCCTCTGATGAGCTAGAGGAAGCAACATCCTCCTCGGTCGGTCCCTGCATGCTTCTGGAACGCATTATGCTCCGCCGCTCTTCGGGGGGCTCGAGTTGTCTCCCCCGTCGCATCGTGACGGCATCCTCGCTTGCGTCGCCGTCTACGCCCTCGTCGAAAGACGAGCTGCCCAGCTTAGGAGCTGGAGGGGGCGGAGGCGCGCCCCCTGTTGCAGCGGGCGGAGGCGCCGCGAGCGCACTGGCCACGGCAGGCGGAGGCGCCGCGATCGCACTGGCCAAGGCAGGCGGAGGCCGAGGCAGCGGGCCCAAGGCCGTCGCTGCCGAAGGCTCCGGACAGCCGCCAGAGGCAGGCAGGAGCGGCGCTGCGGCAGGAGCAGGCGCGGGAGTCAAGGGAAGCTGCCCTGGCGGCGTCGGCTCTGGCACGTCTCGGGGGGGGTGACGCGGCGGCGGCGGCCGCGATCGAGGCCGCGTCGTCGCCGAATCTGCTGGCCAGCTGGCGGCCGGCGGCGGCGGCGGCGGCGAGCTGGCCCTCGCCCGCGCATGCGTGACCAAAACAGCGGGTGGCTTTTCTTCGCGCGCGCAAGAGGCAGCGGCGCCGCATTCTCACGCAGCGGAAGAAGCGGCGCCTGCTTCGCGTTAACCTTTGAAGCCGCCCGCGGCGGCCACGCCAGCGGCGCAGGCCACGGCGCGACTGGCCCTGGTGGAGTAGCGGCGCGGCCGCCGCCGCTCACGTTGGCTGGCGAAGGAGCTGGCGCAGGAGCAGGCGGCGGGAGTGGCGCAGGAGCTGGCGCAGGAGATGGCGCAGGAGCAGCGACCGCAGCAGCTGCAGCAGCAGGGGCGGCGGACGCGCCAGAGGCAGCGGACGCGCCAGAGGCAGCGGACGCGCCAGAGGCAGCGGAGACGCCACAGAGAGCGTTATACTCCGCGGCGTACATTTCGGGCACGCGGCGGGCGGCTTCGACCAAGTCGAAAAAGACTGACCGCGCCACATCCTCTTGCTCCCTCGAGAGCTTCTTCACCAAAAACCGAGCAGCCCAGAAGTGTGTTCAGACACAGCCTCATCGCGCAGGTCCTCGTCCGCCGCGGGGGGCGAGGGCGGCGCCGGCGGTTTCAGGTGGGCGGGCGCCGGGCAGAGCCGAAAGCCGCGGCTCAGCGCATTGGCAACTCGACGTGCCACAATGTCAGGGCCCTCCCCGCGCGAGAGCAGGCTGTGGAGCTCCAGCAGCGTCTGGCAATCAAGACAAGTCTCGGCTGCGGCCAAGAAGCTCTGTAGCTGCCTCTTTCTCGGAAATTTGCGCGCGCCCGTCAGGCGGAAGGTGCCCGCGTCCAGGAAGAGAACGCGCTCTCCTTCGGAATCCCATGCCCAGCTTCAGGTCGGAAATGTAGACGCCACGCCCAGCGGCCTGGGCGAAGCTCCGCACCGCCAGGAGGAAGACGCGCCGGTTGCCCTGGCTGTCGTCGCGCAGCAACCGCACGCGCCGATCCAACGGCATGGCGCTGTTGAGCATGAGGAAGTGCAGGTGCCTGACGCCGCCGCCGGGCCCGTGGAGCGCAGCGGCGCCGCAGTGGAGGACGGTCTGCACCAGCTCCCGCGGGGCCCCCGACATCTCGGCCTCGCGTTCATTCGCCTGCACCTGCTCTGCGCGCTCGGCTAGCTTGGCGACGCGCTGCTGGTCCGTTGTGTTGTATACAATGCGCGACGTGCCGTGCGCGGCGTAGGTGAGGCTGAAACGCACGGTCGGCATCACGTCGTCGGCGTCAGAGGCAGCGGACGCGCCAGAGGCAGCGGACGCGCCAGAGGCAGCGGAGACGCCAGAGAGAGCGGTGCCGCGGCGGAGCCACGCATCCATGGCGAAGGGCAAGTCAATGCGCCTGGAACACGTGCTGCGCGCTCGCGCCCACTCTCGGGAAGGCTGCAGCTCTTGTGCGCGGAGGTGGAGCACCAGCGCCATGGCGACAGTACTCAAACAGTTGCGCGGCAGGATTCCGACGGGAGCCACGCCTTCTTGGAGCCAGAATGGGCGGCGGACAGACGGGCCTCCCCGAGTGGAAGAATTATATACTTGCACGCTCTGTCCCACTCGAACCCCCCAAATCTCGACCGGCTCCCCTCAAGCGTTTACGCCTGGTCGGGTCTAATGTTGCCTTTGGTCCGGTCTAGTTGTTCTCTGGTCGGGTCTAGTTTTCCTGTGGTCGGGTCTGGTTTTTTTCCCTGGTCGGGTCTAGTTTTTCCTTTAGTCGGGTCTAGATTTTTTCTGGTCGGGTCAATTTTGTTCCTGGTCGGGTCTAGTTTTCCCGTGATCGGATCTAGTTTTCCTTCTGGTCGGGTCTAGTTTTTCCATGGTCGGGTCTAGCTTTTCCCTTGTCGGGTCTAGTTTTCCCCTGGTCGGGTCTAGTTTTTCCTTTGGTCGGGTCTAGTTTTTCCCTGGTCGGGACAAGTTTTCCTCTGGTCGGGTCTAGTTTTGGCCTCGTCGGGTTTACTTTGTCCTTTTTTGTCCGGTCTAGTTTTTCTCTGGTCGAGTCTAGTTATTCCCTGGTCGGGTCTAGTTGTCCCGTGGTCGGATCTAGTTTTTCCGTTGGTCGGGTCTAGTTTTTCCTTTGGTCCGGTCTAGTTTTTCCCTTATTACACATACTTACAACATACCCAAAGATAGTCAAAACAAATACTCAACAAATCGTCCCCTGACTATCTTTAATTATTATGTTGAACAGATTCCTCCTGTGGAGGGACGGGCCCGACTGAAAAATCTGCTGGCGCGCTCCCTGACAGAGAGGCCTCGACGCGCCTCGCAGGTCGCACTCTGGCGGACAAGCAGGGGCCCAAGATATGAGCAGGGACCGACCACCCCGGCATTCCTATAGGCCTACCCCGAGATGTTCTGAGAACCCTCAAAAAATCCTCTGAGAACGCAACCAATGTTCTTTGAACATAGAACTGATGCGTTGAAACGGAGCATTGTCAGGTAGACACGCCAGGACGCTTCGCCACTGCTTGAGCCATAGGTCTGGACCCTTTCCCCGGGACCGGATTTTCATCCTGAGCCGCTCTTCGACGGTCCCGGGGCCCGGTAGGGGCTTCAACCTCCCTCCTCCTCCTCCCACCTCCTCCTCCTCCTCCACCTCCTCACTCCTCCTCCTCCTCCTCCTCCTCCTCCTCCTCCTCCTCCTCCTCCTCCTCCTCCTATTGTTTGGTAGGCCTATAGGCACGCCAGGACGCTTCGCCGCTGCTTGAAAGACAGAGCCTCGGAACAACGCCCGTCTGTTCCAGCCCGCCTTCGCCCTGGCAACCCCTGTCTGCAGAGACCGACCGCAGCGATGTTCGAATCGAAATGGCGCTCACAACGACAAACGAGACGAGACCCCACGTTTACAACGATTGCTCAAAACGGAGCCGGTGCCAAACGAAAACGAACGACGAGACGCGGCGTACAGAGCAACAGCGAAAAACGAGACGAAACGACACGAATAACTAAACGAAAAACAAAACAAGGGCCCAAACCAAGCTAAACAGCGTTGTGGTCGGTCCTTGCCTGTCTGTGAACCCCGCCCCAGACCCAACACTGCCCGACTTCAAGAAAGCTGGGAACCATCGCGATCCTCACGCCGTGGCATCCGCTATATTGCCTTGTTGCTGGCTCCCCATGTTGCACATCCCCGTTTTCATCCCGCTTCTGTTTCTGGCTCAGCTCGTTCACAACATCAGCGTGCCTAGAATCCCATCATGTTCCTGCCTTTGCATCCTGCTATCAATTATCTCCCCCATAATTAAAATCCTCCCCAGCATCAACAGCAGAGTCTTTCTCCCGCCTCCTCCTTCTTCAGTCCGTGCCAGCGCACTATACGACCAAATCTGGACTGTTTGCCAGTTCGCCGACTCTTGTAAGCGTCGCGAGGAGTGTGTAGAAGCCTCATATATTGATTCCGAGCAGGTGTGGGTCGGAGGATTGCGCCGCATCGCCGATGCATCGGTGAGGTTGGCGATGCATCGAAGAACCTCGGGGTGAAGAGAATCGGGCTCCATATCGAGCCGCATCGCAAATGCATCGGCGATGCGGCGCAATCCTCCGATCCTATCGAAAAGCAGAGAGGGAACGAGGAGGATCGAGGAGGAGGATCGAAGATCGACGCTGACCCAATCCCGGGGGTGCAAGCAATGTGGGAACCCTCCCTCGTCTCTGCTCCAACCCCGACACCCGACACCGAGCCCGAGGAGCCGCCAGGAAAGACCCAAGAAATCGCCCAACCATCGCCAACACTGGGTGGAGGAGGACTCTTCTGTCATACTCCCAGGGCGCCTAAAAATCACGATGGAGGCCAGGCAACGCTCAGCTCTGGAGCGCCTGCTTGAGGGACAAGGCTCACAGTCCCCTCCAGCTACCTGTGGCGAAAGACACAGGCATTGCGAGACGCGGGCGAAGCGAGGCTCGGAAGAAGGGCGACCCAAGCGAAAGGAAACCCGAGAGAAGCGAGTCCGTGATCCCCCAGAAGCCCGCTGTTACGTCGAATCCGTGTCGGATCCATG